ATATATATATATATATATATATATATATATATATATATATATATATACACAAACACACATATACATACACATACACATACATAAAAGACATAAACACATGCTATACATGCACACATAAAATCATTGCCCATTTTGAATACATAGTGGAAAGGAAGAAAGAATATTGGATACATATGTGTGTGAAAAATGTGTGTGAAAAGAACTGCAAAGAAATAGGATTATAAAAAAAACAGCTTCCAGTCTTAGCAGTTGTAGATAAGAGAGAGAAAGAGAAATGAGAAACAGAGAGAGGGAGAAAAAGAAAGAGATGAGAGAGACAGAGATAAGAAAGAGAGAGGGAGAAAGAAAGAAAGAGACAGAGATACCTATTTAAAAGAAAATAGAAAAATGGCTCTTTGAGTGTTTAAGGTTGCAGACCCCTGGGTTAGGCAAACACCATGGTCATTAAGTGAACTTTGTGATCATTAAGCAAACACTGGTTAAACAAGTCCATTTTCCCCAATGGGCATTTTTAACCCGAAACCAGAAGGAATTGTTGGAAACTGGCAAAAAACATAAAAAACCTCAGTCACAAGACTGTGTGGGATGTTGTAACTGGTCATAAGTGTGTGTGTATGTATGTATGGTTGTCAAAATTCCAAAAACAGGTCAAGTAGCTCTGGGGAGGTCAGTCGTAAATTAGAACACTTGCTAAGCAACTGGTCATTAAGCGAGGACCACTTATATTTGGTTTGCCAGTCACATGGCCACCTAGCTACACCCACCCCAGTCACATGACCACCCAGTCACATGACCATCTAGCCACGCCCAGTCAGTCACATGACCACCTAGCCATGCCCAGTCAGCAAGCCACGTCCATCCAGTCACATGACCACCAAGTCACACCCACAAATTACAGAACAGGTTGTTAAGAAATTTGAATCCCACCCCTGGACATATTATGTTGTGCCAAATAATGAATGTGCTGCTGTGTTCTGGATCAACTAAAGTTTCATAATGCTCTTCAAGGGAATCCCCAATACTTAGTAGAATACATTGCAATAGTCCGATCAGGAGGTAACTAAGCTGTCATGAGTGATCATAAGTAATACTTCCTGAAAAAAAACTAACTGGTGTACAAGATGAAATTGTGCAAAGGCTATGGTCCTGTCTATGACTGCCACCTGCTGCATGAAAGACTCCAGGAGAACCCCCAGATTATGCACCAATTGAAAATCACTAGATGTTGGCTGTCTGATATTTTGGGCAGTAGATTACCAATATTCTTAGAAGTTTAAATGTCAAAAGGCAACATTTTGTGATGATGTGGCTTGGCTCCCATTGAAGTCAAATGAAATTATAACAAGATCCAGATAAATTTAGTTTCTTCCAAAAGTAGTCTGTGCATATATATTTCTCCCCTCTGTCATCTGATTTTGTTGGAATGATTTCAGTTTGTTCATTGGCTATAAACATGCACACTCTTATACAAAGAGCTTTTAGATAAAGATTCTGTCTATAAAATATAACCCAGAAAAAATTACACTAAAATGGAATTTGAGAGTTAAGAACAGAGTCGGATCCCTTTGGAAAGGGGACACATTCATATATTTAGATACAAATGTAAAGTCAGAATAAAATGCAAACTAATGAAAAAGGATTTGTGACAGAATCCAGAATGCAATATTTAAGTGTATCAGTAATTTTTACCTTAGCAATACATCTTGAAGTTGCCAAATTCAGCTTAAGAGCTTGGCGTAAGAACTTCAGCTACATACCGGTACACGCATGCATACATACATAGCATCTCATTTTGCAAAGCTTTATTGAGTCTGCTTTAAGAAACAAATTCTCGTAGTTGTGCTTTACTGCTCATGCCTCAAGGGGTGTGACAGGAAAAGCAATGGATATTTCATCCTCCACCTATTGCCTGCATTCACAAGTAGGGATTACATTCAGAAGTTAGGGCAAAAAGAAGCAGCAAAAAGAATCTCCTGGACAGAGGACTGCTAGTTCATGACTTTCTTCGGTTGATGATTATGAGCAATGAGAAAACCCCAAGAAAGAAGACTTTTCAGAATTGCGTGCAATATATGAAAAATCCTGTGGCAAGGTTGTGATTAAGGTTTTCATAAAAGAATGCTTATACAGTGTGTCCATCTAATAGTTATTTTTTCTGAATGTTTTTCAACCTTAACTGGAGATGTCAACTCCAGTCAACTCTTTAATTACTATGTCCCTACTATTTTCATAATATACATCATACAGGTAATCCTCAGAATCACTGCAGTTAACAGTAATAGAGTTGGAAGGGAACTTGGTGATCATCTAGTCCAACACCCTGCTCTCACAGGAGACCTATACTATTTCTGATAGATGGCTTCAGTCTCTTCTTAAAAGCCTCCAGTGTTGGGCCACCCACAATTTCTGAAGGCAACTTTTTATGAATATTTTTAAATTTTAACTGGAGATATCAAATCCAGTCAACTTTTTCAATAACTGTGCAGTTGTAAAGTTACTAGTATAGTTGTTAAGTGAATCTGGCTTCCCCATTAACTTTGTTTTAGTGGTTGCAAAAGGTGATCACATGACCCCAGGATGCTGCAACCATCATAAATATGGTTCAGATGCTAAGCACCTGAATTTGATAACATGACCAAGGGGTCATATGCACAAAAAATGGTAATAAGTTGTAAAATGGTCATAAGTCACTTTTTCAGTGCCGTTGTTCAATTCAGTTATACAATTTGTTAATGCAAATTGTGCCATAAATGTTTTCCTTGTTGCCTAATCTGCATCTTATTGATTTTAGGGATTCTTATGATGGTAATTTGTAAATTACATTCTCTATGCACTGGAGAAAGGCTATGGGTATAAGTCATTCTCCAGTCATAGCAGAATTAAAAGCCTGATATAATAATAATTAAAAAGGTTTTGTTTGAAGAATCTTTAAAAACCAGAATGCATAAAACAATTTATTTAATGCGAATGTAGCATTACATTCACCAAAGTATTTTTTTCAAAAAAACTTTAGTTTACATCAATCTACATTTTTTAAAAAATGTAAATCTATTTTCACAATAATATGCACTCAATATTTTTCATTTGCTGTTTTTATTTTCTAAAGTCATTTAATATAGCATGCAGAAATAAGAATATAACAATAATAGTATTTTTACTGTAAAATAACCATTCCTTTGAAGTTTTAAACTGACCTCAATAGAACAAAATAAAATGCATTAATAAAATAAAAACTTTAAAATGTCGCTGTTTTCTCAATACTTCACGAGTATGCTGATTGTAATATTTAATTTTATTTTCATATATATATATATATATATATATATATATATATATATATATATATAAAGAATTTATATAGCTATATTGAATTATTGTTTTATGTAATGTAATGACAAGTATAAAATAGGAGAGATTTTATTTCAAAGTGTGAACTACTGTACATATCTGGTCCAGCCTTAAGTACTAAATATACTATCTTGATGAGAAAATGCCTGACTTCTGCAAACCTGAGTAGAAGTTCACACCGACAAGGAGAGTGGTATGTGTTTATTGTAGGTATACACCAGTGCTTTTAAAAAACTTTTTCAAACTCAGGCTGTATATAGCTATGTTAAGAAAACAGTCTAAGAAATAAACATGACAACATTTTTGTCCACAATCTATGGGACTTCCTAGCTTTACAAAAAAAAAAAAAAAATCTGCATCACAGGCATTCTAGAATATACACATTAAAAAAAATACCAGCCACACAATAATGCTGTTTATTAACAAAACAAAGGATCTTATACCAGGTGACATTTTAGTACTAAAGTATTACTATGGTGTGTAAAGCATCATGAGAAGAAAGTATTGTATAATCATTTCAAAGAAATTTCAGTGGCCACTCGGAGACAGTTGTACATTTCCTGTGGAAGATCAGCTCTTGTGATATTATTTCCATCCAGACGCAGATGTGATACCCTGGAATAGGCTAGTATCCCGACCACCTTACAAAAGCTGTTCACTGAAAATTCTGTAATGTAAATAACATAATATTAGAATATAACTTTCACAATCCACCTAGGATATTTCCAAATTTAACTAATGCCAGGAGTTCTAGCAGTTTTTAGGTTCTTTGGCTAGTTAAATTCTGTTTCCTATAAATTATATACATATTATATTATACCCAGATATCAGACATTATGCTTAAAGTCTTGACATGAAAAATTGAAACACAAAAAATACATCTAAGTAAGAGCTTTTAGTTTTAAGCAATGACCAATGGTTAATATCTATGCTAGTTCCCTAATTTGTGAAGTGAAAGCAAGATCTCTGGACTTCTGCTCTTGCTAGCTAGAGTACGTATTATTCTTTGAGAAAATTGCAGGTTTTTATCATGATAGCTATTATTTTTAAAAAGAGATGGAATGAACATAAAGACTGGGATAAAATAGTTACATGAGAATTGAGAATTATATACAGGTTATCTCATTTAACTATTACCAACACCTTTCTTTCTTCTCTTTTTTTAATGGAAGTATTACTTACTGGAAATTTCGTTGACTTGGAGGTAGTAGTTTTCAAGGTGCTCACTGACTGTTGGAATGCTCTTTAGCTGATTATAGGAGAGATCCAGCTCCACAAGCGAAGAGATATTGAAAACGTTGCTTGGTATTCCAGAATCTGTTAACTTATTGTGAGAAAGACGTAAAAACTGCAGTACTTTTAAATCCTGGAAATACTGATCGGGAACGCCGGTAATCTGATTATTATCAAAATACAGCATCAATAAATTATTAGGCAGTCCTGGAGGCAGTTTAGTCAGTTTATTATTGCTCAAGTCCAGATACAAGAGAGATTTTAAGCCTTTAAAAACTCCAGAGAGTGTACCTTCAGTCAGTTCATTGTGCTGTAAGTGAATGACAGTCAGATTCACTAGTCCCTCTAGTGTATTGGGGGTGATTTTGGAAATCTGGTTATGAGTGAGTTGCAGGTCATCCAGGGTACTGGGAAGTGGCCCAACAACTTCAGTTAAATTGTTGTGATTGATGTGCAGCTTTTTTAAATTCTTTAATTTTGCAAAGACTTTGCCTTTAATATTGGAATTTTTCAGTTGGTTATTGTCTAGAATTAGCCACTCCAGGTCTGTCACATTCTCAAAAGCATTATCTTCTATGCCTTCAAGCAGATTATTGCGGAGATACAGGTATTTGATTCCTTTAGGAATAATGGGTAAACTCTTCAGTTTAAGATCATCACAATACATGGCTGAGGGGTAAGTTATAGGGCAATTACATTCTGGTGCACAGACTGCAGATGATAGTTCTAACATTGAAAAAAAATAACTAAAATCTGGATCAACACCATAATCATATTGACAGAATATGCCGCTGATCAAAAAAAGGAAGAAAGGAAGAGAAGTCAGATACATCTTTGCGCTCAGGATTGTACCTGTTAAAGGAGATAAAAAACATAGTTACCTTAATGTTGTTATAAGGAAGCATACTAGAAGAACAAAACAAAGCAAAATGTAACTTCTATATGTGTGTGTGTGTGTGTGTGTGTGCATGTGTGTGTGTGCAGTCACATGCATACACACACATACACACACACGCACACACACACACAGAACTTCACCTTGTGGCTGCAGAACTGCGAGCAACCAGACGGAATGGGTAGCCAGCCAGCTGCACTGACTTTTAAGTAGGGCTTTTTTTGGGGGGGGGGGTTAGGGCTTATATTAGGCACACACATAAAACATGTTAGGGTTTATTTTCAGGATAGGTCTTATTTTCAGGGAAACAGTACAATGTTTTGAAAACTATAGTATTTATTATGCTTAGATGTATAGGTTATTATTACAACATTATATTAATTATTTACAGCTTTCATCAATGACTAAATAATACACGTAGCAATAAGTGAAAACTTCTGACATGATATGGCAATGGTTATTAAATATTTATACAGAAAATAAACATTCTATAATGTTGTAATGTTATTATATATTGATGATGTAAATTTTATATGAAAGTACAGAGAAATTTAATGTATTATTAACAATTCTAATTGCTGAAATGTTGACTGAAAACTTCTAGAGATTAAGGAAATGGATCACTTGGGCCAACCATTATATTCCAAATATCTGTCTATGTGGGCAAAAAAGCCTTTATTCATGGAGGGGAAAAATGGAAGGTATACACATGTTGCTAAGTAGTTTATTTGGAAGTTTACCTACTGGCTCATCTATCAAAACATAGTGGTTACAAAATGCTGATATATCATTTATTTTATAATGAGCATGTCCAATAAATCCAGCATAATGACTAATTTCAGTTAAAAAAAGAGAGGAAATCCATAAACAAATGTGTACATATACAGAGATAAAAATATACTCATAGACTGTCTCTCTCTTCCTCTCCCTCTCCCCCCCTCTCTCTGTGTGCATGCGCGCATACACTTTACTCCAATTGTATGAAACCACTTGTGCTAGGATAATACAAAACTGGCAAAAAGAGAAACCTTGGATAGTGTTCAATGCATTTATTATGAGAGGAATTACTTATTAATGACATGTTTTAATTCCTTTATATGAATATGATGTATTTTTGCATCTGGAAAATTATAGGTTTGTTCACCATATCTGGAAAAGGATATAATGCCGGAGCTAAGATTATGAGAAGATGCATTAGTTGTTTTACAAGAAAAGGCTGGAGTGTTTGGGATTCTTTAGCTTCAAAAAAGGACTTCTAAAGGCAACATCGTTTTGTTGAATAAAATCATGCATATTACAAGAAAAATAGGAAAGTAGAGTTCTATCTCTCTGCTTCTCAAAATATTAGGACAAGATGTCATCCAGCATAGATGTTTAGAAAGATATTTAGAACAAGGAAAAGAATACAGTGAATACTTCAGGTATTTTATCATGAGATATAGTGATGGCCACCTAACCTAGATAGATATACTTTTCAATTGGAAAATGCCAGGAATCATACAATGTAGGTAGTATTCAAATTAAATAAAGAAATGGGATTTAATACATTTATGATTAAGTCTATGTAGGACTACTATTCTTGAAACTTGATGCTATCTGTGGGTTGGAGACTTCCCAGATATTAGTTGAAAAGAAGAATGGTGGGAAAGCGATTTGTCTCCATCATTGGCCTGTGAGAAACAAAATGCTGGACTTGATCCAAGAAATTTATTCTTATATTCTTCCTTTTTTTGAATATGTAACTAACTGAATAAATTAATTCATAAATAAATTCATCCAAGATCAGATTCACCAGATTCATATTCTACTTTTCTGGGAAGCATTCTTATACTACCCTTTGAATGAATCATCATTTGATCTTAGACAAAAGCCCTATTTTAAGAAAGGAAAAACCACAGTTGATGGTTTTATAAATTCTGAGTGATGGCTCCCAGTGTTGTTTTCCCTTGTTACTTAGGCTGAGTAAAACTCAGATGCCAAAGGAAGGAAATTGGCTTAAACATCTATATGTGAAATGTATTGAATGACTATGAACATAACAACATTATATGTTCCATAATGGATCATATCTCTGGCCCATCTAGTCTAGCATGGACTAGTTCTCAGAATAGCTAACTGTCTGTAGAAAGAAGCAGATTTCTCTCCAAGCTGATTATAAGACCATCATAAAGGCTAACAGCCATTGATCTTCATGACTTCTATGTATTCATCCAAAGGTCTTGCAAAGCCAAACAATCTGGTAGCTATACCACATCTTAGTAGTGAATTTCAAAACTTAATTATCTGCATTGTGAAAAAAAAATGTTTCCTGATTCTTCCAGTATTTACTTTAATTAGGATAACCTCTGGTTTGAGTGTTTTGGGAGAGGGAAAGTAGTTGTTTTTTATTCATTTTATTCATGGCATGCATAATTTTATATACCTCAATCATATCCCATCTTGTTGGCCTTCTCTGAACCTTTCTAGTTCCACTATCTCCTTTTTGAGGTATGGCTAGCAAACCTGCACACAATATTGTAGATGCAATTACACCATTTATATAAGGACATTAAAATATTGCTCTCCTTAATTGCAATACTTTTTCTTATTATTCCTATTATGCTATTGGCCATTCTTACAGTGGATAAACACTGCATTGACACTTTCTTGAACTTCAATATTTACTTCAAGATCTCATTCCACAACAATCTGCTAACTCTGATCCCATTTATGTTATTCTAGATAAGATGCTGACCAAGTTCTTGGGTTTAGAACTGAGTTGTTAATGTTTCATAAAGGATTTTGTTTCAGTATTGGGCAGAAATGATATTCGGTTCAATTTACATGAAACATTTTATGCTGGCTTCAATGAGTGTAAGCTACCAGTACAGCTTAGATTCAGTAACCAAAATCAATCTATAGTTAAACTGGCAGAAGCAACTATACATTACTCTTTTTTCAATTAATTATGTTGATATACTTTAGATGAGTTATCTTTGGAAATCTGTGTCAATACTTATTTTAAAATGAGTTAGACATGGATGCACATTTAGTCTTCCCTTTAACTTCTATATTAATTCCAATATTCAAATTCTGTATAGCATTGGGTTTCTCCATACATTGTTGGCAAATAAACTCATTTTCAAATTAGGTAGGAAGGTCAAAGGCAGGGATTCTTACTATAGGTCTACAAATAGATTTCAGGAGGTCTGTGAATTTGGATGAGAAAAACAATTGCAAATTTATTTTCACCAACTTTTAACTGAAATTTAGCTTCATCAATAACAATGTTATTGATTTAATGGATTAATAAAGAAGTTCATGTTTACTATATTATATTATTACTTTTAATATATTGATAATTACATTTGAGTATAATTGGGCTTATTTATAGTGTAATCTATATCTATTTTATTTAATTTTTTATTAAAGATACTTAATAATCTTTATTAAAGATACTTAATAAATATACTTTTTTCTAAAAGTTCTCAAAAGGTGTCACAGGCAATGAAAGCAAAGAAAAATTGGTCTTCCACTATTTCACACTAAAAGCTACTTCATATACCTGGAATCAACTGCTTCCAATCAGGCAATTTTACTGAAATCCAGGTAGTGACCCATATAGACCTTTAAAGGGGAAAACCAACACCTAGAATTGCACCTGAAAGACAGTGGCAATCTAATTATAACCATAACTACTCAAACTGCTGCACTATGAATCAGCAATATATTCTAAGTGGATTTCATGGCCAGCTCCATGTGATACATATGGTAACGTAATAGTCCAATCAAGAAGTTACTGAAGTATGAATGACTATGAGAAGAGTTTCCCAATCTAATAATGGTCATAACTGGCACAAAAGATAAAACCATGTGAGGGCCTTTCTGGCCACAGCAGTGATCTGCCAATAACAAGAAATAACTTCAAAACCAGTTCAACATGGATGGGTGGGGAGAAGGATGATCACAACCAAAACCAAAGATAGAATAACACTGGCACTGGATGGCTTATCAGACACAATTAACCTTATCTTGATGACATTAGTTCTAAGTCTGCTTTTAGAATTTAAGAGCATCAAGAAAGATCCTCACCTGCATTTCCAATTTGTTCGGATAAAGTTAAACCCTAACTCTGCCCTGACAGATGATCTTCATCAATGGCTTCATATAGATGTTAAATAGTGTTTGTTGATAACTGCTGCTTCTTGGAGAAAAAAGCCAAGAAACCAGTGGGTTTTCATCCAAATTCTTTATGATATTGAGGATTGAGAAAGCCAGTTCAGAAACAAATCAACAAGTTTGGGGGCTAACAGAGATTTGGACTGACAATTTTTCACTTTACTTAATTATTTCACCAATGACTTTTCCATCTCACATAGTCAAATGCTTATTGACTAGGCTTAATGTTTTTCCATTCATGATTCTAGAAGGGAGTTTTTGTAATAACTTTAATACCAAATTTCCTCTATCATTGTTGGGGTGGGAAATATTTTCTTACTAGCAAATCTGTCTATAAGAATATGTAAAAGGTTTGCCGTTTTGCTGAATTGCAAGGGTTCTCAGTTTAATATTGGTAATACTTACACAGTGATTTACTGTTGTTTTAATATGACTTGTTATCTATTTTATTAAATGCATGGCTTTTGATTGTGCTATTTTCACATTTTTATTGTATTTATGGTACATTACTATTTTGATCTGTGTGATTAGTAAAACATCTGTCCCTTCTCATCCATCTATCTATCTATCTATCTATCTATCTATCTATCTATCTATCTATCTATCTCTCATCATCATCATCATCATTATCATCATCATCATCTATCCTATTTATCATCTATATCATATGTCATCGATCTATTTATCATCATTATCATCTATGATCAATCTTAACTCCGCCAATCTCTGATGGGACAGTATGCATAATTGAATCCAACCACCATTTTATTGCACCAATAAATACCTATAGAAGGGTGAGGAAAGAGATAAGAAAGATGGATTGTATATGAATTCTCATAAGTGGTAAATTATGTCTTCAGCTTCAATCTTAATGCTGCAAAATGTTTAATGTTTATACAGAAGCTATTCTGGACCTGAAGCTAAAACCCAAAACATGATGAAAATATAAGACTGTGCTGCAGATCATGGACCACAGAAACCAGGTAAATAGAAAGAGCCAAAACCTAAGGACAGATAAAGGGACAAACAGCATTAGTAAAGGTATTATTGGTAGAAACACGTCTAAAAATGGTTTACTTTGTTATATGTTGTTACTTTGTTTTTTTGTTTCACACTGAAGTTCCTATACTGAGCTATTGTCAGTATTGTCAGGAACACCCACATTTTAAAAAAATAATAATAATGATAATAACATTCACAGAATTTGGTTTTAAAGGGTTTATGGATTTTTTGGTTGAGTATGCCACCCAGAATCTATTAGAGGTGGGTAGTTATAACAAATATAAATAAATAAATAATCACAAAGAAGTTTTGCCCTTTTGCATTTTCATGTAAAATTGCACTTCCTAATTGTTATTATGGATGATTTAATGTTTATTGAGGATAAATTAGGAGCAAATGTATACATCAATGAAGACTATATATGGAATAATAAATTTCAATACTTTAATGAAAAAGCTGAGACTTCTGTAGATAATTGTATGAAACAGACATGACTGGATATTTACAATTTTGATATAGATTAGGACAAGGGCCAAATTCAATGGTATGCCAATTGACTTCCTCTCATGAAATTGATATCCTCTTGCTCTTAACTTCTCTGTTATATCCTCTGAATGCACTCAGTCTAGTTTTATCCCAGCATCTTCCAAACATTTGGAGTAGGTTTGGCCAACACACAGAGAGTATAGTGGGATGAGTAGATGCAGTTCACTCAGTTGTCAGTATAAAAGCCATATAGTTATTTCTCTCACAGCTTAAAAATAATTAGTCACTCTATTAAATAATAAAAGATGTATTGATTTCAGAATCCATAAGAACCACCAACCCCATGAAATTATTCCATTGAAGATGTTTGTGGTATGAGGTTTAATAGATAGCTGAGTTATAATGAAATTTGCATCTTTGAAGTAAAGCTGATCACAGCTGCATTTGAATGCATAGATATACAACAATATAATCTGGTATCACTTTATTGCTTTGCCAAATATATCTTCATGGAAGGACATATTGGATTTATAAGAAACAAGTCCCTACATTAATGTCCCAAAAACTACTTTTCCCCAATTCTCTTTTTGAATGGAAAAGGAGGGCAAAAATTAATGAACTAAACAAAAATACCATTTTGTCTAAAACATTATTTTTCCACTAGTGAAGAATTACAAAATATCATAGCTAGCAACAATGTCAGTTGTAAAAAAAAAAGTTACAAGTAAAGGGTTAAAGTAACATGATAGATTATAGCTGAATATATAATAACTGAAGTTTTGTTTCTGATCAGTGAATTATTATGCATTTTGGCATATATTTATGGAATATTTGAATTTGTCTAATATATGTTTGTACCTATCAGGCAATTCTGTGGCTTGCAAATTTATATATCAAATATATATAGTGTGAAACTAATATTGTTTTATGTAATTGAATTGCCGTTGGAGTTACTGGAAAGATCCCTATCGGTTATAGTGCAGCTCTCGTACAGATTTTAACTGTAAATGTTTTTCTATAACAACATAGTATTAACTGTAAATGAGTAACCTTAGTTGTAGTTACAGTACACTGATCCGAGTTGGTTGATTAGAGATACTTTATAATCTTTCCTTTAACAGTGTAGCAACATTTCCTACTTCTATTTAAAAGAAAATTATAGAAATATAATAAAATAAGGCCTTGTTTAGAATCATACACTTTGGTATTGGAAATATTTCTTATATATTTCTTATCTATTTGTACTACTTTATACTTTTTGTATCCCTTTGACTTACTGTATTACAGACTGATAAACCACTCTGTAGAAAATATTAATAAAGGATATTAATATTTAGTTAAACATTTCCAAATGTTATAGAGTAGTTTTACAATTTTTTAGACTTAAAGATTTGCTTCAAGATGCTAATATAGTAAAATTTTCCAACTAGAAGTGCAGTATTACATTTGTTATTCATGTGAATAATCTATGAATATAAAAAAAAAATCAAAGATAATATTTTTCATGCAAGATTATACTTTCTGAAATTTGTGAGACCCTTCTTTGCTCTGTGTACATTTCATAAACTTGTTTAAATGAATATATTATTTCTTAAAAGATCAGCAGGAACCAGAAATTAGCAGAGTATCTACATATTTCTCTAGTACAAATGTTTGAACATATTCCTATGAACATCTGCTAAAAATTTGCATGCAAGGGCTACAATTGTCATTTGGCACCTTCCCTCAGATGGAAAAATCTTTTTCACTAGCAGTTAAAGAGTGAATCTTGTTCTGTACACTTTTCTTTTTCAAAGTTTCACACTAAAACCATCACTGTTGTCCCATAAAAGTTTAATTAACATGTACATTGCTAGATGAATAACCTTTAATAGTTTTGTTGTTTTTCAGTAACATGGACTATTGTTTTATCAATGAAATTTTCAGAGTAATCCACCTATTTGATATAAGAGTTCTTGCTAATAAATGTAAATATTTATTAGATAGATATTGTGTTCCTCCCTATGGTATGGAATAGTTCTTCTGGAAGTGATTAAATTTTGCAAAAATTTTGCAAAGAAATGCAACAATAACCCACAAAACATGAAGAGCATTTTAACATAAGCTCAGAAAATAAATTCACAACAGCAGTTGTGTCCAATCTGCAAACTGACAAAGGTGAGTCGTATTCTCAGTACTGCTTTGTTCAGTTGCTTGATTCTAAGTGTTAAAACATGCAAGAGAACTTACCTTTCTGACTTGAAACTGCTTGCTTTAATTCCCACAGCAGATTCAGTAAGGGAGTGGATCGAACAATATATGCTATAAACAGTGTCAGATGGTAACTGGCTGCCAGATCCTCTGTGATTCAAGGGTTTAGGGGGGGAAATCCTAGTCACGCTGTTGTCTGAAGCTTCTATGTCATCATGGTATTCTGGCATGGGGTATGTAAAACTGCTGCTGTCTCTAATCAAATGCAGGTGGAGGCTGAAAAGGGTAAAAGACAACCCATCTGTTCTCTCAATGGAATGAGAGATAACCCCTTTAAGCAACCTAAGAAAAGTTCAAGCTCTGTTATAGCACAAACAACAAACTTCTAAAGGGAGACATTATTCTAAACAATGTCCAGATTGCAAACAGACGTTTCATTTCCCCAACTCACTATATAACCTTTGGCAAGATCTAACAAATAACCCTCAAGCGTTAGTTCAACCACACTTTTTTAACCAAGTGACTCATTCACTTTTTCATTATTTTTTCCCTCCTAAGTTATGTACAGCCTAAATGTCTCACTAAACTTACTTATTTCTAAAAGTTTTCACAGTACAAAATAAGGAAGGAACCATGTACATTTTTCCTTTGTCATATCAAACAAAAATGTTCATTTGCACAGATTAAGATTCTATATGTTGTTTATGGTATATGTATTCATCTAAATATTTACATAACAGCAATGAATTTTCTGTAATAGAGATAAATAGTTGGCAGCTTCCTAAAAGTACACAAACATTTGTCACTTTTAGGACTATTAGTATCTGGAACCAATCAACTTTCTTATTTATGGATGCTGTTCAAGAATGCATCCTAAAGCTTGGATGCAAATGTTGTTGAAACAGACATTGCCAAAAATGGAAATAATAATAATAATAAAATGATTGGCAAAACTCTAAAGTATTTATTCTGGGTTTAATATCACCAAGAAACTCCCACGAGAGGATTTGTTTGTCTGGGATAGATGCTTCCTTTAAGGGCCTAAGTGACAAGAAGTATGAACTTTTCAAAATCACCTAGAAAGAATATCAAAGAAAAATGTTATCAACTTATATTTATGGTATGTAATATTTGTAGGAGAGTTAACAATGGATAACTAAATTTGTACATCTTCAGAGGTTTGGTTCACTGGCTGAATGCCAAAATGCACTATGATGTACTGTGACATGGCTGCAGAGATGTGGCTTGCTATTTCAAAGCAAGAAAAATATTTGTCTGGTGATACATAGCTTCATCTAAATAACTATGTGACCCACTGGACTTACATATTCATTGTGGTACTGGGGAGAGAAGAAACAAAAGGAAAAATGTGAAACAGTAGCAGACAAAAGATGGGAAAATGAATGAGAGAAAGAGAAAGAAAGAGATAGGATCTTATATTCTTTTAACCTTTTTGGAGTCCAAAAATAGTCAAAGATAAACAATATATAATTTTTACATGAATTACATAATTTACTCTGGAAGCCATGTTTCAGCAAGTCAACTTTCAAATCCCCAGTTTGCAAAATGTCACCTCAATATCATTGTACAGATTTTTTTTTCAATTTGTCTTTAAGCAATGACATTCTTAAATGTCTATTTGCAGATTTTGCAGGCCAAAAGAGCATACCAACAACTGATAGAAAATTGTAAAATAACATATCTGCAAAATCAAAAAATGCTTTCCAAGAATACAATTTTTTAAATGTCCATGTGACAATAAAAGAGAAAAAAAGCCATAGAGTTGAAATCCAAAATCGATTATTTAATCTGAAATACTTTTTTTCTAATTTCAGTAAAGCAAGCATTTAAAAACTTCTAAAACTCTATTACCACTAATACATTTGTTGTGTGTATTGTTATACAATATATTTCATATATTTAAATTATCACAGAATTTCTTTAATAAGTACTTAAAGTATTTGTAGGAGCTTTTTGTCTCACTGTTTACTGTATTCCTCACTATGAGTCCTTGATTTGTGCAAAATTATAGGGTTAACAGTTTTTCTGAAAATGTAGGAGGGTATACAAGGCACCACTTTCTAAATTACTAAAATTACATATTTTAGGATTATCATGGTTGCTTTAGAAACTGATCCTGATCATTTTACTTTTTTCTGAGTGCTGTGAAGCTAAGTAGCTATGGATGCAGAAGGATGTAGAAAGAGCTGGGAGGGTCTGCATGATCCCGGAAAAAGACAAAGCTGCTTTAATTATTGGAAAAGAAGTAATTCATGATTTCTTCAATGACTTCCAAAGCGGCAATTTCAAAGACTTGCACAGTTCCAACAACAACAAATTTAATGACACAGATTGTATTAAATGTCTTTTAAGGGTCCTTTGCGATGTTATTTTACATGAGCATACCTCTAGTTTCAGAATGTACTGAAAGTATTGATGAAGAACACACATGATTTAAAATGCAATCATATCTGAGTTTGTGTTGTGTTTCTGCATGCATGAATTTGAGCCAGTAATGAAGCCTATTGATTGCCTGAATTAGTCTCTGCAGTTTTCTTGGCAAAGTTTCAGGAGTGGTTTGCCATTGCCTTCTTCCCAAAGCTAAGAAAGAGTGATTGGTCCAAGGTCATCCAACTAGTTTCTTAGACTGGCTCCTTAAACCACTGCACCAAACTGGTTCTCATCTCTGAGTTAACTCTCAATTACTTATCTATATTTAAGTAAAACATTTAGATATTAATCTTACTGAGTTCAGTAAGGATTAAACCCAGGAAATAGATACAGAAGACTTAATAGACATAGACTTAATCTGTTAAATAGAATTGTACAAATCCTTATGCAAGCGTCTGGTCTATGTACAGAGCAACCCATTAAACTTACTCAATGGAAACACAAAACATTGCTGGAAGGCTTGGTGCTGGAGCTTTGTGGATTGCTCTATCCTTGCAGCAAAGCCTTCTGGGTAGACCATCTAATGTCAAAATGTGCATCATGATGCAATTGATCAATGTACATATTGACATCACATGTCTTGATATTAGTACTAAATTATGTCCCATATGAGAATAATATGCTCAGAAGTATATTGAAGGGTATGATAAACCTTCAAGCCTTCTATTTCACAAGTTTGAGAGTGATTTGGGCAGATTTAATTCTATATTTCATAGTTGCTGTATATTATACATTGTCAACTTTTTATTTTTCATAATTTGTTTATTGTGAGTTTACATAATGAGCCAGTTTAAAGAAAGAAGCAGTATACATGTTTTAATAAGTAAAGATAAATAAATGAAAGCAAATAATTTGTGCTTCTTTCAGGCACCAGAATGGCCCAGGCACATGACAAACATACTGGGAGTCAAGAAATATTTAGAAACATTTTGCCTTTTTCTGTCATTGCCCACTTCTAGTATACAACTTATACCATTCTTTACCTTGGTTTCATACAAAGGCAATGTTTTACAAGGTTTAAATCAATACTTTATTTGAATAAAAACTTGTATCCCATTTTATCCTTTAATTTAAATGGAGGAAAAAAGAAAAGCTGATTTTAAGGAGCTGCTGACCAGTGCTCCATTCATGCCATTGCATGCTCCAAAAGTCCTGCACAACCCATATCTGCTTACCATAGTAAAGTGAAACAAAACATGGTTTTCAAATTTCAAATTCTATAAACAAGAAATGTATACAGAAATGCATTACTAGTACATTGGAAACATAGTATGAAACATCATGGAAAACAGTTTGCTTCAGCACTATGTTTTTTTTTTTTCCAACCGAGGGTTTCTGCATTCCAACACCTTTGATTTTAAATAACTTAGGCATTAGAACTACTAGTTTTATTTATAGCTAAAGTACACAAATAACATTAGATTATTGTTTGATCATAGTGTCTTTGTAATGTCATGACAGCATTTTCCATCCTATTTTTCAGCTTAAATATGATTTTAAATCTTTTGATCCTTTGAGTTAGAATTCAGGATCCTTGGTAAAAGTTCAGAGCATTTTCATCTGCATTTTTTTAAAAAAGTTTCCCTCAGACCAACTTAACACCTGAAGATTTCATTGACATATTTTGTTGGCAGCCATTAAGAAATAATTGCCTAGCCTCTAGCCTTGGCATATACAGGATGCCTCATGTTTGAATACCGATAAAATCTGACTTTACTTAATTTACTTCATTTGTCAATATTGACTAAGAGTAGCTGGGTAGTACTCTATCTGTCCTTCATTACAAATATATTTGTACCTTAGGTATATACAAAGATCCTTTCACAAAATTTATTTCTCAAAATTTCTTTAACAAAATTTCTTCCATAAAATTTTTTACTAGAAAAGTAAAAAAAAAAAAACCTAACCAAATTAAATTAAACATATAAGGGAATATGATAGGTTTAAAGGAACCAACACCTCACTGTTCCTTTCTCTTGATACACAGTCTTTTCACTGTCCATATCCTGATTTATATATTGTCTTAAGTAAATGCTAATAATGCCTGTAGTGAGTATACTATAATCTATCTATCTATCTATCTATCTATCTATCTATCTATCTATCTATCTATCTATCTATCT